TGGTCAATAACCTGTCATCGGTTTCAGATTGAGTTGATGAGATAACGTCTGAAACACCTGATATAGTCTGGCATTGAGAGGTAGACAGTCGACATGTGGCTGACGTAAACGGCTCCGGTTCAACTGCACTACAGACAGGCAAAAGGAATAATCTCTTCGGCATCGGTTCCAAAGCGGGTTTACTGTCATCAACCAAGTGGATAAATTAACAAAATTAAAATACAACATCTGAAAGTTCATGCCTAAGTAAAATAGAGCCCAAATATAACAGAAACTGCCGAAATTCTGTAGCCTTCCAACGTTCGAAGTCAGAAAAATGGCGGTATTTACGTGCAAAGTTAAAAGGCAATTGAAGACTAAGTCTTTTAAAAACTACATTCATTCTGCAGAATGCAGATGACGGTAAGCGAACAGAATGAGAAAGGGGCCCAGTTTGCCACAAACCAACTAAACGTTTCACAAACCCCAGACATACACAGCGCATGTAATCATAGGGAAATTGTGTCACCAGGTCGATAGGTAATATCTCAAATGGAGAATTACCTACATGGAGTTCTTCTTGCTTAAGCGTACGAAAAGAAAAGTCCGTTCTGAGGTTTTTCGGCTCTTTGGGGAACGTTATTCGTCCACATATATGCACTCCGGATACTTCACACCGATCACAGCTGAAGAAGCCAAAATGTTGTTTAACCTGTTTTACAAAGGCTCTGGCAGGGGTGTCACACACAATGCTATGGAGAACAACGGAAATACGTCTGCCATCCTCAGTAGGATTACCCGATTCTCGCAAAGTCTTCGTGTCCGATATGAACTCGTTGAGGAAAGTATGAACATTTTTCGGCTTATGGTAACCACAGTGCAAGCCAACGAGGAACACTGGAGCATTCGGACTAACAAGTCGGCAAAGAGTCGTTCAAAATTTCATTCGGGAGCTACGGAACAATGACATGTCATCAATGTTGACTTGTAAACGTAACTCACTCAGATTGGTACAATCAAACGTTGCCAGGTTATCTTCAGGCAGGATGATAAGCTGAAATGTATGTAATCGCCCATCCTCTAACTCAATGATGCTCGTCATCCTAGGTGTTCTCAGTAGTGCTTGTCTGTCTTTCGGCAATCCATTATGTAAAAGACCCCATTCTCGTTTTATGCTATTGCTTATGCTATTGACATTCAGCTTTGCTTTACTAGCAACTCTTCGCGCTATCTATGGGCCATTGTCCTCTGTACATTTTTTTACTGCAGGTCACGTAGTATAATGTACATTATATAATGTACAGCATTTGTAGTATATGATGCAATCATGCCAACACAGCGTCACACTTTGTGCTCCCAGTTTGCTCCAGAATTCGCACTTTCTGAATAAGACCTATATGAGCTCAAGTGTACGTTTATTGCATTTAAAAAAACAACAAATAAATCCATTCCTGCAATAGTTGTCATAGTTATCTGCATGGTATTCTTCTGAAGTAAACGTTGGTTTGAATTGCTTCTAAGTGGTATCAATGGCAGGCCGCCATTATCACTTTACTGTTCGCTTGTGTGTTTCGTGCTATCTTTGCCTGCTGTTTATTTCTGATCTTTCTCCATCATGTTACCCGTCGGAGCGTTTTAACGCTCGTATCCGACTTCATTCTGGATCCGTTCGCTCCTTGGTAAACTTCGTAATACGCCCGAAAGATAGGGGTAGTGAACATACCGTTGCTCAGCCCGTCTTAGGTGCTAAAGCTACCATACAAAAATCTCGGTCTGACGTGGGAAGCGTACAGCAGTATAAAAGCGTCCATCTTAAGCCTACTGAAAGGTTACGAATAGGTCCCAGAATTCTCCACGCATGGGCACAGACCTTATCGGTGTTTCCTTGGGTCTTCAGTGATTATGTCAGCGTAACTCTTAGGTCCGTTTCGCACGATATTCTGCGCAATATGGTTCCCTGGAAGCTGTAGACCACTTCTGAATCAGCCCATCCCAAGTGACGTCAAGCTTACCGGTATTTTATTATCGGCTTTTTGCCGGAACCCAGACCTATGTACCGCTACTAATCTGACTTTAGATCAGTCATCCGGAATGACTCCTAATCTAAAGGACCTTTCAGCAGCAATTTAACATCCGCTGAGTGTATTTCGTCATGCTCGGCTGCCTTAAACCTAGTGAGTGCTTTCATTTCACACTGCATAGCCCTAAAGTCTGCAAAAATTGGATGCATTGTTGAGTTGCCTTACATGGATAGATTATCTGTGACCCTGCTGATCCTTCACATGCTCTTGAAGAAGCATACATAAGATGCGTGTCTCACACCCTCACGAACTGTTGCTTCTCGGGTTGACATTTATAAGGTACCAACCGTTTCATAAGTGTGTCCATTAGATTGGACGTAGATTGCACATAAAACACCTGGGGTTTGCACTGGAAGTTTTTCACTAAGTTCCTCTCGGATAAGTACATAGCTTCCCTTTGCACCTTCTTTGGATGGTTGCGTGCCTTTTTGTAGCTATTCCTCAACTTCTGGGTGCCATACAGTCTGCAAGCGGCCGATGCTCTTTAAAGCCTCAGCTCAAACTGCGTCGCCGTATCAGCTTCCATTACTTACATCAGGTTATTCAATCAGCTAGGCCTCTAACAGTAAAAATTGTCTCCTGATCATTTGTGACCCCGACTATTTATTCTGGGTCTTTCTATCTTTAAGCGCAAGGTTCGTCGCGACATTAAGGGGCGGTTGGACCTTCTGGCAGTACCTGTCCTTAATGCTCCAATGAACACACAAACTATAAAGAATTCCATACTGCATCGGTCATAGCGCAGGATAACTCAAACTGTGCATCCCATTGGATTGAGTAGGGTGGGTAGTGATAAGTGAGCTACTGCTTAGTATTCCCAACTTTCATTTAACTCTTTGTTTTCTACACTCAACCTTCCCTTTTATATCTCATTTTAACCCATATCATTCTACCAGAAAGCTTGTTCATTTTTAACGAAAGCTCGGTATCAAATAGCACTATGAGTATGTAGTAGCTCCAGACCGACAGTTTAACATGCTAGGGAGTTGGCACCATGCGGGCATTGGTTGCTTGGAGCATTTGCTGGTTCATTCTTCTCTTTTGGAGGATGGATTACACCAAAATCGTCGATACCCTGATGCCACTTCTTCAGCTAGGTCTTTCAGCTTTGTTTAAGGCTCTGCCACCTCCGGTGAAGTAAGTTCACTTTGAAAGGTGCGTGAGTTCAGTTCTACCCCTTCTCTTGCTAGGCATTTCACTTTAAGATACTCCCAATCGTAGTCGGGCTAAACTTTCGGTGCTTTAAGGGAACAGTATATTTTCCCTTGATTAACTGGTTGTTTGTCTTGATACTGGGTTATCGAGGATTACGTCGAGCTCACCAGTTTAGAGTGGGAAAGCTAGTTCATCACCTGTGGAAGCGACCTAGTCTCTAATACCCCGTGATGTTTTATAACTCGGCAGATATCAAGCCGCATCCATATGCCTTTACGCATTCACTTGCTCCTGTGGAGCAAGCTACATAGGCCGAACTACGAGGCAGCTGTCGAAGAAGATACGTGAACACCACTCCCACTGGTTGAGACACGGTGGAACCAGGATGGCGAAAAGTGCCATTCTGTTCACGTATACTGGAGACACGGCGTACTATCAGTGTTGATATGGCTTTCCACACCATTCATCACAAGCCAATATCTCTGCCGGAACGCCTTAGGTTTATCATTCTATGCACAACCGAGACACTAGTTATCCAAACATCGGATCCCCCGTTGGCAACCAAAAGTAGCTCGTTCGGGCTCTAGCCTTGCCGTAACCTCGGATGAAGAAACTCACCCCAACGCTGGGGGACGTACCACTAACTACGAGAACGATAAGGGTTATCACCAAAGCCTTTGGTTCTGATAAAAGCCTAACCACAAGGCAGCGAGTAAGGCGGAGTGTAAGCCCATCTTCCTGGATCAATTACTCCACCAGCATTTTTACTGACTGAGAAGCCAATGGGAGTCAAACCCTTACCTTGGAGGACCAGGAGACTGGGCCTTTTATGACCTCTACCCTCTGCCCTTACAGGTATTAGTAAGTAGATCTGCGGCTTGGCAAAAGCCATCTTGTGTAGCTCGTCGGGTCCCAAAGGTTGAGGCCATCACACCACGTCAAGGTGCAGTCTCAACCTGATGGATCTGAAAAGATAAATATTTGTGAATTGTCTGCAACACCTGACTATCACAATAACTGCAGTCTGCCGTTAAAACTAGTTATTATTCGATGTATTTCCATTGTAAGGAATACAAATCAAGAATTTTCCACTTAAGTCTCCACGGGACACGCTGCTAATAATGGACCAATATCCTTATTCTAACTTCAACTGCCTTTACTAAGCCCAAGTTTGAATTGCGGCTGTGAGAGGCCATCCTGTGTAACTTATAGGGGTGTAGAGGCACACACGATGTCAAGGTGCAGTCTTGTGTTGGTGGATTCACCGGTGTGATAAAGTTTTTTCTTTTGTTTGACAGTTTCAAGGAAATCGTAATTTATACTAGTTCACTTTGAGCGAGATCAGATTCAATATTTGTTTTGGTATTGTTGATGCCGGTTTATGCTAATAATGAACGACATGAGCAGTAAATCCTCAGGTTTCTGTAATTACGGTTGGAAGGTTTTCGCCTATATATCGTTTGTATCCTACTGCTGTTTGACTGAATTATATTACTATAATATTCTGCAAAATGTGCAAAGGCAGAATATCTGACCATGAATTTTGTGTCCCACTTTCTCCGATTGTAATAAATAAATCCTGTGTAAATATAATTTTAACTATTAATTTCAGTCCACAATGAGCGATTTCGTATACGATGCAGTCAAAACGTTCTGTGAGAAGTTGTACGAAAAGGTTTTGGAATCACAAAAAGGTTTGTTTTCAATCAGCAATACACTAGTTATCTGTTCCATGGAGAACAATACGAGAATGTTTTTCTGTCTCCGGTGGGCATTTATGCAACGATGGCTATAATTTTGGCTGGAAGTGAAGGCGAAACAAAGCGAGAAATTCTCTCAGCATTGCAACTCCCCACGGACATTGGGAATGACGAGATCCACAACGCAATGGGACGTTTTATTTCTAGTTGTTTTGAGTCCACACCCGGCGTGACAGTATCTGTTGGAAACCGAGTTTTTGTAAGACAAGAAACAAACGTTATTGCACAATATCAGGAGTTACTGAGCAAGAATTATGGAGCAGGTTTCGAGAGTGTAAGCACTGTTTCGTCTAAATATGTGATTGTTCTGATTGAAGGTGGACTTTCGCGGTGCTACCGAGGCTGTACGGAAGCACATTAATGGTTGGATTAGCAATGAAACCAAGGGAAAGATTCAGAATTTATTTACCCCGGGTAGTCTGGATCCGGCAACTTGTGTGTTGATCGCAAATGCCCTATATTTCAAGGGTTAGTGCCTATTGTACTATTAATAAAAATTTGCAATTTCAGGCGCATGGCAGTACGAATTTAACAAATTGTTAACCAGGGAAGCGGAATTTCATCTCCTGAATGGAGAGAGGAAGAAAATAAAAATGATGTTTGAGGAGAAATTCTTCGAATACGCCACTTTGTCTGATTTGAATGCAGTTGCGGTAAAAATGCCATTCCGAGAGTCCAGGTAAGCAATGGTCAGTATGCACATATTTGCTCTCTGTGATTCCCTCGAGGAGTGTTGTGAAGTCGACCGTTCAAAAATTCAAAGTCTTATCTTGTTGTTACGCATTTTTTGGTCCGATCGTAAGTCGTTTTGTGGTGTAAACTTCTGAACAACTCTGGAATACCTGGTGTTTTGTGTATGCAAAAGATCGATGTACATAGGAATTGAAATTGATAGTATTCTGAAAGCTTGACGTTACATATTCCACACAAGTTATTGGAAGAAAATATGAACTGCGTGGTCACAAGAACGGCTCTAAAAATCGTTTAACTTGGAATGTGATACATATATGTACCAAAAATACACAAAGATAATATATCACTACGACCAATAGTCTCACCTTCCGGTATACCAACCTACAAAATGGCTCAAGAATTGTGGAAAAGACTCGACTCTCTCATCGCTGGCTGCGAACACTCCATCAGTAACGCTAAATAGTTCTTAGAAAAACTGAAGAATGTATATATTGATGCGGATGAAATAATGATATCCTTCGACGTCACCGCTGTATTCGCCTCCATCAACCTCGATTTGGCCAGGGAAACACTGAGGGAGGTTCTAGAGGAACGACAAATACACCAAACACTAGATAATAAATATATCTGCGAGCTGATAAACCTATGCCGACGGCGAAATCTGCGAAAAGGTGAAAGGATCGCCCAGTTTCCGGATTCATTGCTGAAGCCAAAATGCAAAAGCTCGAAAGGACGATTCTACCACAACTCCAACCCAAGCTCTGGCTTAGATATGTGGATGATGGATTCCTCATCCTGAAGAAATCGGAAGTGGGCAGAACCTTCAACAGCATCAATGATATCTTCCCGAATATCAAGTTCACGATGGAAACAACAAAATGATAAACTGGCATTCCTCGATGTGCTAGTATCAAGCCCATTGTCCGGACCGCTTAAAACATCAGTATACAGAAAGAAGACCTACACAGATCAAATCCTGGGATACACCAACAACTACCCAATCCTACGCAAGAAGAGTTGCATTCAGGCAATTTTCGAAAGGGCCAAAAGACACTGCAGCACTGAAACGTTGACGCAACAAGAGGAGAAATACCTCCTTCAAGTATCCCTCCGCAACTTCGTCAAACGGACAATAATTAGAACACAGCTACACGCAAGACAGACGAACAACCAAATAAGCGAATAACCCTACCGTATGTGAAGAATATTTCGGAACTGACCACGAGAATACTGAAGCCACAAAAAATTCAAGTCACCCACAGACCAACGACAACCCTGCGGAAAATCTCATCAAAAACCAAAGAGTCACAAGAAGACAAAGATCAAACAAATGTGATCTACCGCATCAACTGTAAGGACTACAACAAGTACTATATCGGTCAAACAGGGAGAAAACTAGCAACTCGCGTGCAAGAACACAAACTGGCCGTCAGAAGACACGATGTGCTCTCACTCATCCCAATTCACGTGGACCGAGAACGACAAAGCTTCGATTTCGAAAACATCAAAGTCGACGATCAGGCCCGCACCAAGCACTGAAGATAGTTTCTGGAGGCTTGGCATTCGTCGGAGAACTCGGTCAACCGACACATCGAAACCGATCAAGCCTACACCCCCATGCAACACAAGGACCAATAAACGCAAAGACGGGCTGGGCCGTGTCACAAGTGACCACAGGACAACAGTAACGCTCAGACTGATCAATCAACGACCAGCCGTCAGACTGCTTGCGTCCAGTCGGGCAACGCCACGTCTCAACAACACGAAACGACCTACATAAGGAAAAGGACACTCGTAAGCACTCACCCAGTTACTGCATTGAGAATGTCACTTCGATTAGTGATGAAAAGTTTGCAATACAATTTCCAAGCTAGGCGAACAAATGAACATGACGTTATACTACCAGAGCTACGAAAACAACTATCAACACCGTTGTTTACAAAACTGTCTGAAAGAGCTGTCTATCCAATGGTCACCCGGCGTTGCAAACAAGGTTATTGTGACGAAAATACACTTCCTGGGTACAAGTATATGAATGAACTGACAAAAGATTACCGGATACGCATGCCTGACGAGCGGCAAGAACCGCGAAACCGGTCGTGTGCTTCCAGGGAAATTTTGTCCACTCATTCACATACTACTCATTATCATATATATATATATATATA